GGCTCGCTAGAAGCCCTCAAGTGAAATGACATCAGAGGAGGCCCGCTTGATTGCTGAGCGGATTGTAAGTCAAATTTGTTTCTTTCAACCTTATTAACCTTGCTTTGTCATTCATCAATTTTTTTTACAATATATAATGCTCAATTGTAGGATTCTTTAGAGTAGCAGTTTACACAGGGAACATTCGTTCCCCGTGGTCGTGAATATATCTTAACTGCTGCTATTGGACGCCCAGAACACCCAGGGCATGTTCGTGCTATTGGAGCTGGTGTGGGTATTCGAGCATATTTTGGAGTTGCATCATCAGAGCATACCCACACCACATCATTGAGCCAGCAGGAGATGGCCAAGTTGGAGGAGAGTCTAACAGCGAAGCTGAGACCAGCGATGGTTGAAGAGCTGATAGCGACGCTGACACCAGCCATTACCGCACGAGTTCAGGAGGAGATGATGTATGTATTTGGTTCAAGTCTAGCATCCATGGGTGTCACACGGCCTACCCACCCACCTATGGATGTTCCTCCTCCATCTGCCGCACGGGTTAGCACTAAGGGTAGTTGTGCTGACCCAAATGCTACTGATGAAGAGCTTCCTGCTACTAATGAAGAGGTTGTTGTTGATGCTATTGCAGTTGAAGTTGTTGTTGTAGACAACACTGACCAGTCAGGTATGTGTGGATTATATCTTGATGACAAAAATTAATGTTCATATTAAATAATTAATGTCTTATTTTTGTGTAACCAGGTCAGTGTGAATTTTATGTTGATGAGGATGGATCTGAATCACGATTAGTGGCGGTTGGTTCAATTGAAGAGGGGGCCTCTACAATTCATAGTGTGCCTTTAGCACCTAACTTGGCCAAAGTGGTCATTGAAGAGGTTCAAGATGCTTATGCTCTTGTACCTGTGCCCACAGACGAGGTGATAACAGTGGGACAAACCCTCCAGACCTTCATTGCATGGCCTAGACATCTAATAAGGCCTATTTTGAAAAAGGTTTGCATATATTTTTTGTTAATTATCATATGTAGTCTCGTGCTGTTTTTTATTTTTTCTGTTTCAATGTTATTTTATGTAGGATGTTCAGAAGCCACCCCAGTTGCCTAAACTGGTACCTACTTCCCAACCTAGTAAAGGTAAGGAAGTAGATGTCCCAGAAAATCCAATTTTTCAACTACTATTTGTTGTCCCACAGTTGTATATTCAATCTTGTCAAGTGAAGTGGGATGCAGATAAGTTAAGGGTAGACAATAAGAACTTTCCCCTTTACATTGGCCACACCGATGCTGTGGAGATAGCAATTGGAAGTCAGTGTCTAAACATAGCAGTGTTACAATTTTGGACAATGTAAGTATATATTTTTATTTACTAATTATGTTATTTGAAGTTATCGGCATATTTAATGTACTTTGAACTGCCTACTTTAGGATCATGAATGAATTGTCGAAGCAACAACGCACCCAAGATGTGTATGGATTTTTTGAGCCCCAATCCATACAAAAATCAGGAAACAAGAGAGAAAAAGTTCAAATATACATCCAGAATTGGATGATGAATTCAAGGAAGAAAGTTTACTTGGGTGCTTACTTATATCAGTAAGTATTCAAGCTATGAAATTATTCGCATTTACTTTTGTAGTGTATTCTATGTATCTTAACTTTTTGTAATGTAAGCAGACATCATTGGCAGTTGTTTGTTGTTTGCCCAAAGGAGAATGTTGTGGCTTGGTTCTGCTCATTGGGCAAGAGACATGATGCAGATATTAAATACATTGTCAACAGGTACACATTCTTATAATAATTTACACAATTATTAGCCATTTTGTTACTTAATTGTTTCATTATATTTTGTATTGCACAGTGCATTTAAGGTTTGCAATACAATTGATGGAATACATACAAGCAAAAGCACGAATCCAAATTGGATTTTTGTTAATGTAAGTCATTCTATATTTATGTATTATATGATTCATTTTATATATGAAATTAATATATTATTTTTTGTAGTGTAATAGGCAACCAGGATCTTATGAGTGCGAGATATTATGTTATGCACTTGGATGTGGTCGATTGTTGTTAGCAAAGCCGAGGATACATGGAATCAGGTTTGCTTAAATTTAGTATTCAATTAAATTAAAAATTGTGTCATTGGATACTCTGTTAAATTATTTTTTTATCTTGTAACAGGTATTTTCAGACAGAGAAGCGTTGCCCATAGAGACCATTGAAGATATTAGAAACACCTGGGCCGATAAGTTTCTTGAAGTTAGAAGTAGGCAAGTTTAGTTATTAATTTACTAGTTAGTTTAGTAGTTAGATTAGTAGTTAGTTTAGTAGTTAGAGTAGTAGTTAGTTTACTAGTTAGATTAGTAGTTAGTGTATTTGTTAGATAAGTGTAGTTGGATACATATTCAAGTATTATACTGTGTAATTTTGGATGCACATTAAATTAGTTTGTATCTTGTATATTGTCTGTCTGGATTGTATTTAAATTTGCAGGTATATTGTATAAAACATTGGGATGCCCTGTATAAACAAAACGAGCATTTAAAAAAAAATAGACTTTCTACGTCGGTTGTGTCAATAACCGACGTAGAAAGTTACACAATCAACGTCAGTTTGTACCATAACCGACTATATTCAGCGTTTCTATGTCGGTTATGGAGAACCGACATTGAAAGTATATATTTTTAACGTCGGTTAGGCATACTCGACGTGGAAAGTCTACACTTTCAACGTCGCCTGATACAACGTCAGTTGTAGAACCGTCGTTAAAGGCCTTCCATAACCGATGTTGAAAGTCTTATCTGTAGTAGTGTGGAGACAAATAAAAGCTAATAATGATCCATTAACCTAGGAATTGAAAACTACTTAATGACTGATTGTAAATGAAATTGTGACAACCAAAAGTCAATCAGCTATACACCCTCTTGGTCTCCCAAAGACTAATAACTAAATTTCCAATTGGGCTCTTATTACAACTTGTAATAAAACCAAACTAAATTCCATTAATTGATTCATCCAAAACACAATTTGGTCAACCAACAATACTTATTGAAAAGCTTCATTTGTTTCCCTTACTCTAGCCCTTATCATAGGTCATGTTCACATTAGATTATAAGTTATTTAAACATTTCCAAGCGACTCACCTATTTCACATAAAGTCTCATCCACCATAGAACTTGTCTATTTCAGTATCTTAACCTCTAATTTACTTAGAACCCTATTTAACAATTATTGAAGCTTGGCTTTGATCTTTGTTCAACCTGAAACACTTTGTAATATGTAATACCAAACAATGATTATTAACAACGTTAAATTTAGCCTATCATGTCACTTTATAATCTGTTGTTGATGGAGTCGTCATTATATGTAAGAGATATAATAACGGGTTTGTACTCATCGTTATATGTGATGTATAACAACGATTATTTATATGTGACTATATATGTCATTGAATCTTTGTGTCAAGCATACATATAATGATAGTTATGGTATTAACCATCATTGTATATTGGGTTTTTTTTTTTAAAGAGCAATTTGTTTTAAGCTCTTTCCCATTTTCTGCATATTCAAAATACACAATATAGTACAATACAGATTTCAGGCATATTTACAGTATATACATAATCATAAATATATGCAATACTTACTATCTGATATTAATTTTATTAAAATCCTACAAAGTCATTATAAATCCTACTAGTATGATTAGTAACTATCCTAAATGTACAAGAATAATCAGTCAACTATCTTAAGGTTCAACCATAAAGTTATGATCATATACATATTTTTGTTTTAACAAAAACTAAGTTATCTTAATATATTAATCATGTTGATGAAGTGCGTTGTTCATGTATGTCTAATATAATCTATGGCATGTGTATCCATAAAAAGTTGCAATATAATAAATAAATTTTCATAAGTATCATTATTGTACCTAATCATCTCTAAATAAATATTAATTGTCTTACCTAATCCTAACCTCTCTTTATTCTTGTTTGAATAATAGTTGTCATCCATTGAATTACACAGTAACCACACTCATATCCTCCATATTTCTCAAAATATTGAAATTAAATTAGTTTGTTAATAACAAAAATAAACGAAAATAAATATCATATATTATAACTTTAAATGTAATCATGTGAGTTTTTATGGTCTTTCACTTGACCTCACTGTTCATTATGTTATATCTAGAATAAGCACTAATAATATTTACACTTATTTAAAACATATAAAAATATAACTGTGATATAATTTCTATAAAAACAACCAAATTTTGTTATTAATCTGCTATTTATTTAACGTATAATGGTGGTTTTATGTGCAATGAACAAAATCATGCAATCTTATTGTCAATCATAGATATGACAAGCAATTGTCAATGATGACTATACATTGAAACATATTGAAGTTAGTTAAAATTGAAATTAATTAAAGATAAAGAGAATATACTAACTCATAAACATACGGTGCAAAATAATTTGTTTTTCCTGATAAGAGATTATTTGTGATGTACGTTTATGTCTCTAACTTCTTATTACCTAGTGGTTCAATGAGTTGAATATCTAAAAATTCATTCACTTCATCTTTTCCCTCATTCACACATAACTAGGATAGATACCTACAACAAGTGACATAATAATTAATATTTCAATAACTAAAATAGTAAAAACTTTAGTTTAAATAATTTACATCATTCACAACTTCATAATGGATATGTTAAGCTCTATATTTCCCGTTGCAATTTCTAACACGTCAGACATGTGTAAATATAATAGGATATAACTTTTCCTTCCAAAAAGTGTAGAATCTCATGTCACCTCAATTGGATTGTTACTAATGGCCCTGTCAACATCCAACAATGAAGATAAAGGGTCACTAGTAGTATCTTGTTTCTTCTTTTTCCCATCTTTCTGGCATTGTGATTGCACATTAAAACATTAATATTAAATAATATAATAAACAAGGACCAAACATAGGATTATTATTGTCATACTGTGGTGTCTGATATGGGACTAACTAGATGTTTAGGCCAGTCAATGAAAGTTTGAAGTGTTTGTACTATAATAGTAACCTCATCTATTGGCACATACACAAGAGCACTACCATCACAAAATTTTTCAACAATGACCTTAGCCAAATGAGCAAGAAGAGGTACATTATGTAACATAGTGTCCCCTTCAAACATCTTCCTAAATGTCACCAACCAGAGAGGATCAGTTTCTTCAACATAAAGTTCACACCTGATAGTATGGTTTGTGTCCTCCCTTGATGGTACATCTACAGTAGTTGCTTGTTAGGAGAGCCCTAGGCTCATCAATCGCTAGTCAGACTGCTGCCACAAATTGTGTCACAGTCTCTTTGACCTCTTGTCTAAGATCCTCCCTTAGCTCATCCTTAATTGTGCTCTCAAATTTTGTATATACTCCTCACTAGGGCCACTAGATGAGGAATATGACTTACGTGTTGCTAATCCAAAGACAGATTTAATCATCACACCTACTCCAGCAGCTCGAACATGACCATCACCAAATTTGAGAAACTCATTATCAAACTTTTTTCATTGCATAGAGTCAGTTGGATGACGAATCAATCCATCACATGTCCTCTCATCTACATGTCATCTAAGGTTTTTGACAGTCTTTAAGATTCGCAAACAAATACTTAAACCTTGGAATAATTGAAAGATACCAAATGGACTTGGTAGGGGGTCCCTCAATAGTAATGTCCTCACTACTATCTTGATTATTATCCTTCATTTTGTAATGAGATAACCCACAAATTGGACATTTTTACAGTTCTTCGGGCTCATTTCTATATAAAATACAATCATTGGGACATGTAAGTATCTTTTTCTACTCCATAACCATTAGACAAATTATCTTTTTCGCCTCATAATTACGATTGGGTAGTGTGTTTCTTTTTATAAGCATTTCCTTCAACAACTGAAGCAATTCAGTGAAACTTTTATCAATTCACTTGTTCATTGCCTTCAAATTTACCAATTTTAAAACTACTGGCAATTGTGTGAAATTAATTAAACCAGAATAAAGTGGAGTCTCTACATCGCTACATATATCTTCATACATATGCACTTGAGCAAAAGATTATACTCCAACATCATGAATCATATCCTCTAGTTGATTGAAAGTAAGGTTTACTTCACACTGGCAACGACGCCAATTTGAAATAAGTTCCCCTAAAACAGTAATAATGCAGTACAATGGGAACCAGAATATCAATCCGTGGAAGTAATAAGAGTATATGATTGAGTTATGAATGATTCAATGGGGAACTAAACTAAAAATGAAATTTACAATCTTAGACTAAACTAAAATGAGGTTAAATCCTAATATGCAGTGAATGAAAATACTGCAGAATGCAAAAATGGCTAAAAATATGCAGAATAACAAAAACAATGTAAAATCTCAAATCTGACCCAAAATCACAAATCTGACCGTGAAGAACAGTAACCACGGTCAGTTTCAAATATCTGACCGCAATGAACAGTAATAGCAGTCAGGAATCACGGTCATATTTTTGTGCTCTCGGTCAACGTGCAAAAACTAATGAATTTTCTCGGTCAAAAATGGAAATTAGTGAACAAAATATATGGTTGACCTATAATAATGTAAACAGAAATGAAAAACAATGCAGATGAATGAAGTTAAACGAAATTCATAAATCTGACCACGATGAACAGTAACCACGGTCAGAAATGTAAACCAGACTTGGTCAGAAATATGAACTCTCGGTCAGAATGAAATTTAAAAGCAATTTCTCGGTCAAGAATCAAATTCAAGGTGTAAAATATATTAATGACCGAGTGAAATGTAATTATATTTTAGTTTTGAGTTTTTAAAATGGAAAATGACCGTAGTGAATAGTACTGGTGGTCAGAAAAGTGGTCAGAACATCAACAAAATGAAAAGGTCTCGGTCAAAATGCAAATATGAAGGGATGACTCGATCAAGAATAAAATTCAGTGTATAAAATGTATGATTGACCGAGGGGAATGCAATTGTTTTTGTATTTTGAGTTTTAAAAATGTGAGATGACCTGTGAGAGTGTTTTGGTGCGCGTGGCTAAAAACCTGACCGAGTGACAGTGGTCAATTCGGTCAAAATGTTCAAAACAGTGGTAAATGTGATTTGAAAGTATTGGAATGAGTACAGTAATGTATATTTATGAGTTTTTCAATTTTCTAGGGGGATTTGCAGTACAGAAAATTAAAATGAAAACCTAGTTACACTTAAGCTATTCTAATCTTATGCTAATCTATGACAGAACCTAAAACAGTGTAGTAAAATCTATCTAAACCTAAAACTAAGCTTCTACAGAGATTAAAGCAAGTAATCAAAGCAATAAAACCTAACTACCGTGACTATAAAGCAATTAAAACATCAAAACAGTAAAGTCAAAGCAGTAAAATGCATAAAATTAAAGAAAGCAAGAACAAGAACTGTGGAGCAGATTCGGTGTAAGCAAAATTGCAAGACTACTGCGTTTTTGACACTGTGAAAACCTAATTAATCAATCAAGCATTCACCATACAATTCAACAAAGTGATTGCAAGCTTCAATCCTTAACCGAGAGACATCCACAAACTAAAGCAAGTCAAGAACAGAAGTCTTAAACAAGTTGTCACATGCGATTCAGTTCCAGCAGATTTTGTTCAGTAAAAACCTAATCTAATTCATGAATTCAGTAAAGGAAAAGCAATAGAAAGAGTAGAAGACGAAGATCCAGAACCAATTCATGAAAAACAATGAAGAAAACAGAACACATACATGGAGAGTGTGATGCAAGCAATGAAGAAACCTATGGAGAGAAGCTTGAGTGTGAGAGAGAAAACCAGTGCAGAGAAAATGAAATTTTGATTGATTCTGAATTCTACAACTTCGACTACTTGTTTCTACATTAAGTTAATCTGATATAAGCTTTAACTAATGTACAATTACAAGTTACAAGGCTCATAACCGGAGCTAATCCAATAACTTGAGAAAGATGTTGAAGAGTCGCGTTATCCTCGCTTCAGTGCAGTACCGCGTAATTCAAACGCTTGCAGTTTCTTCAATACTTCTTCAAATTAAACTCTTCCAGTCTCTTTAGAAAGCTTGTTAAGTTAGCTTTCAAACGCCACTATTTTTACTAATTTTGGCTGTCTAATTAATTTAGGATAATTATTTTACTGAGGCATGCCCGTTAGACCGACTCTGTGCGCGTAACCTCTCTTTAATAATTTATATAAAATTCAATTTAGCTCCAAATTGAGTGGTTCTTGATCCTCTGAAAAGATGAATTTGTCTAGTTTTCGGTTCTTAAATAATCATGATTTTAGAAGCTCTTTAGAAAAAATGATAAATAAAACAGTGAACCAATATCAGTACCCGTATACAATAAAATACAGCTAATTTATTGTTTTTATGCAGAATTTTATATTAAGGCTTCTAAAGGCCTAATAATACAAATTATAGTTAATTAAGCTTTATTAAAATAATATAAAAAATATTATAACATTATTAACTACTTAAGATGTGCTGAAAATCAGTCACATCATTGATCATTCATGGTTGAATCAATTAAATCGTGATCAAATTCATTTACACATGACAAATCTACTAGTTCACCATGTCATGTCCAAATTGTGTAATTTTTAAAAAAAATCGTCACATAAAAGATGTCCCCTAATTTGCTCAACATTTAGTGATCTTCCGTTAAGATAATTGACAAATGAACACCTAAATCTTTTATCAGTAGAACTAATCAAAGTGTTTCGTTGTACAAATACTAAAAATTCTTCCACTCCTTTCTCGTACCCCTTAGTTATGCGGATACAACTAATCCAACTATTATTCGTTTCTAGATTTTTTAATACATACAAAGTACATAATTCAGTTAACAATACAATTTGTCGAGGATCGAACATTCCCAGAGTCAACACAAATTCATTCAAAAAAATTTCATATTACTATTAATCATCACAATGTTATCCCTAAATCAATTCATACATTAATCAAGACATATCAGTTTCTTACTAGATAGGAAGAATGAACTCTCATGAACCACTACCAAACAATGCTCACGGACCACCACAAGAGGAGTACGGTGAGAGGGAGAGAGACAGTAGCAAGAGGGAGAGAGCCACTGAGAGAGCGAGAAGCGAGAGCGTGCAGGGACCGAGAGAGATATGCAGGACGCAGGGAGATGACCGACAACAAGAGAGAGAGCAAGAAGGAGATGCAGTAAAGTGAGGGAGTGAGCGAGAGGGAGTTGTAGGAAGAGGAAGAAGGAGGCGGCGAAAGTGAAGGAAGAGGGTGAACGAAAATAAGTTTAAAAACATATGATGATGGTTATTAGTAACAATCGTCATTGTATAGAACATATAACGACAATTAAAATATAATCATCGTTGAAGAGGTGGTGTCGCTCACATTCAATGACGAGATTAATAATCGTCATTGTATATTTTATAGGACGATAGTCATTAAATAATTGCTCTTATTTTCAAAAATGTTATTGTGGTATCTTCAATGACGACCCAAAATAACCGTTGTCAAAAGACGTCATTATTTTTCATATCTACATTAATGATATTATAACCAATACAATTTTAAATTATAAAGATGAGAAAACATATGAAACATTTAGAAAAGTAATTATTGGTTTAGATTAATAAAAAATATGAAATAGATCAAGTTAGACAAATATATAATGAATTCCATTTCAAAAAATATATTAATTCAACATTGTTTGTATAGATGGAAATTGATATAATATATATTTTTAAACGATGTACAAAATAACCATTTAAATACCATCTTATTGTTATTTGCTACGAAAATTGACTTAAATAATTATTATAAATTAATGACTAGAGAGTCATATAGTCATAATAATATTGACTCTTCTCTAAACATAAAATAAACTCTCACAAATTTTACAATAATCACGAATTATATTTAATAAAATAAAAATATCTAAAATTTTAAAAATATCTAGTTTTAGTTTATGTAGTTGAGGAGGAAATAATGCATGCATAAATAAAGGGATGCACCATTCCGTTTTGCAAGGAACAAGTGCATTTGTCGAGATGCAACATTCCATTAAGTCAAAGGAAATCCGCAAAATTTGGTTATTCTCTCATGAGAAGAGAGAAGAAAGCACACAATCCGTGTGGTTGTTATGTCCGTGAAAAACTCAAACAAGCTAAAAAGGAAGGAACTTGTATTTCCTTATCCTTTGTTGTTCAATTCCTATTGTTTCAAACACCAAAAAGAAACAAGTAAACAAATAAAACCCAACAAATTCCTTTGTCTCTCGATTGGCATTAAGAGAGGGACAGAGGATATTCAAAGATAGCAAAAGAAAGAGCAAGTTACCCTGCATGTCACAAATAGTGGCATGACCTTTGCTTCATCATAAAATCCTTTTGAAAAAGAGCAGACATATGAAAGGAAAAGACATAATAAAAGAAGTAGACAGTTAAAGAAAGAAAGTTTAGAGGTCCCTTTGGTAAGACATTTTGGTTTCTGGGTTTATTTTGAGTGGTTTCTTTTAATTGGAAGAGCACAAAAAGTTGAAGATAGTGTTTGGAAAGGAAAAGTAAGGGAGAGTGATGTGGCTACAAAAGAATCATTGGGACAAGAAGGATGGGGTGAATGGAATAGTGGCAGTGGCAATAGACTCAGACAAGGGGAGCCAGAACGCACTAAAATGGTCAGTTGATCATCTCCTCACCAAAGGGTCAAGTGTAGTTCTCATTCACGTCAAGCAAAAGCCATCTTCTCTTTCTGCATCAGTTTCTCTTATGAACCATAGTAAGTATTCATTGTTTTGTCTCATCCATGTTCTTGTCAGTACATTTTATGAAACTTGCAACAATAATTTATGTCACATTCTATTTTTACAATTGTGCTCTACTACCCTTTGTGCAACTATGCATGTATAGTTTTAGAGAAATAAGATGAGATAGCTTCTTAAAAGTTGAGGTAAACTTGTCTCCTTATTTTCTTCTCCTGAAAATGGTTTGTGAAAAAATTTCAAATTGGACCTAAATAAGAATAATGAAATTCAAAATGTAATAGCACATGCATGGATGCCTCCTTGGACCATTGTGCAAGTATGTTATTTGCTGTATGAATTGTTAATGTTTAGATTGCAAAAAAGAGTTTCAAAAGGAGGGGAAAAAGGAACATTTGTAGCCATGCGTACTAGGTCCTAGAATGTTGTTGTGACTTCCTTGTTTGCAGGGGGGAATGGTATTTCTGAGCATGGACTTGTCTGCAGAGACCCTGATGACCAAACCAAAGAAATTTTCCGTCCATACCGTGTATTCTGTGCAAGGAAAGATGTAAGTTTTATTCTCTTGCTCCATTTTTCCTCTACAAGAGGTGGAAAAGAACTCAAAACTTTCAACTAGCTTTGGCCCCTTCACTTGCTCCATTTCCTCTACAAGATTTAACTGTTCTCTCAACATGCTTTCATTTTGCAAACCAAATTCGTTTCACTTTAAAAACTTTGTGATGGTAATGTAAAAATGTTTCTGAACCAAACATAATTGAGAAAAAGTAATAGTATTTTGTAATGGTTTTCATTTTAGAATTCTCACATTAATTTGAGCATCTCATCATTTTTGTTTTTCTTTTTTGGTCTATAGATACACTGCAAGGACATCGTGCTAGAAGATGTAGATATAGCCAAAGCTTTAATTGAATATGCTTCTCAATATGCAATTGAGCATTTAGTCATAGGCTCTTCAAACAAAGGTGGTTTTCTTAGGTATGTCTTTCAACTCTCTATCCATGCCAAATGGTGGTGTTGTGCCACAAAATTTGCTTTCTAGATCACATTTTAAATGTATCAATAAAAAGATACGTTTGAGCTCATTTCAAGAATAAACATTGTAAAGCGAATCTTATAAGTGAACTCATTAACATTGAATCGAGTAAAATAAAACAAAATTGTCCTGTGCAATCGAGCTTTTGTCATACATGATATGCACAATAACTTAAGACTTACTAATGCGGGTAGGCACAAGTATAAGTGTACCTTACTAAGGAAGTTGCTTGAATTCTATGTTGGGTTAGTTTAGGTGACATTTACTAAGGAATTTTCTTTTGCATCAGAAGATTCAAGATAGCAGATATTCCAGGAACAGTGTCAAAAGGGGCACCAGATTTCTGCACGGTATATATTGTTGCTAAAGGGAAGATTCAATCCATGCGATCTGCTTCACGTGCTGGTCCAGCCTTTTCCCCTCTTCAAAGCCAACTGAATCAACCCAGTGCCAAATTAGACCTGTCAGAACCACGTGTGCCTCTGTCTAAAGGTAACATTTAACTTTATCTCTTCTAAAAATTGGTACATCTATGAATATACGTGTGTGAATTGTCATGATGTTGCCGAATAAGAAATTTGGTTTCTTTTAGTGCCTGACAGGAGGTCTATGGACGTACCATTCCGTGGATCACATGATGGAATGGATTCCTTCAGGTAATTACATTAGTACATAATGGCATGGCAAATTTTGTTTCCCTTTTGTTTTTTTTCCTGTTTCATGCATTCTATAACAAATTTCACCTTGCATGATTAACAAGTAACAAATTCTCCATGATCTAAAAGCAAAATGCTACTGGAATCAGGTCACCATTGACTAGGAGAAGTATGAATATTGATAAGTCATTTGGGGAAAATTCGATGCCAGAGACTGACATAAGTTTTGTAAGCTCTAGAATGTCAAGTACAGATCGGTTATTCCCTTCATTGCATAACATCTACAACAATAGCAACTCAGAGACAGGAATGTCCAATCCCCGGCTATCATATAGCTCTGACACCGATGGAAACAATTATAGCTTTGAGTCAGTGAATTTTGGAAGGAGGTCTGTGGATATCAGCTCCGATTTCTCATCCTTCTCACAAGAGAGTGAGGGCTTCTCAGCCTCATCACAGGGCATGGTAAGACATGCAACCAATGTGCATTCTTATTTCATAATATGAGGCCAAGTAATTTAATGATTTAGATAAATGTATTTCTTCTATAGTCTGAAGTGATCGAGGTTCACTTGGGAGAATTAAGTAGTTACTTGCAGCCTTCGCTTAAATATCTAATGATTGAGATAGTGATAACAACATATGTACATATTTAACAAAATATGAAGATTTAGAATGTCACTCTGACTAAAAAAATCAGAAGTTATGGTCTAGTACACCCTCCAAATTATAGGGGAGCTAGAACAAATGTATGTGTAGCAATTTGCATGGATTTTCTTATAGAAAATTAGGTTTAAAGAAGTTTTTCTAAAAGATAAAAACATCAATATATAGGTTCTAGGCAACATATCTTTCAAATATTAATTTCTTTTGGAAGATGTTTCAGCCCACGAAAGGAATGAGTAGAAATAAGGGTAAATTAGGCAACCATGTTACATTAATTACAGCCAAATTAAGCAACATGATGGTTGATAAATTTAGAAGTATGTTTTATTATGTTAAATTGTACTATTGTTTAAGATAATCCAAAATGTTTCATAAAACTACAAATATATTAACATTAAGAGACAAATGCGATAGCTACGGTTAAAACTGTGATCAATATTGCTTAAACTGCTGTTAGATTAAGTAAAGTTGATGGATTTAATAATTTTCACTTTAACTGAGGGTTTAGTAACAAATAGAAATTTTTTTAAGGGAGTAAATTGCACAAGTTCTAAACTAAAGGGGTTGAATGTAGTTTATCATAGAAACAGATGATCAAAAGGTCAAATATTTCAGTTACTTAGATTTTTTTTTGTATGGGTCAAGTGTTTTGATTCCTGATTGCTACTACATTGTGGATAAACATCTCTTGCAAGTGTAGGATGATGTGGAGGCTGAAATGAGAAGACTGAAATTGGAGCTCAAGCAAACAATGGAAATGTATAGCAATGCCTGCAAAGAAGCACTCACAGCACAGCAAAAGGTTATAATAGCATCAGCTTCTGCATCTTAAAAACACAAGATGATCTGACTCTGACATATTATGCAATGCATCACAGGCTGTGGAACTCCAGCGCTGGAAATTAGAGGAAGAGAGAAGATTAGAGGAGGCAAGGCTCGCAGAAGAAGCTGCATTGGCCCTTGCAGAAAGGGAGAAGGCAAGATCAAAAGTAGCCATGGAGACAGCTGAGGCACAGAAGAGGATTGCAGAACTGGAATCACAGAAGAGAATCAATGCAGAAATGCAAGCATTTAGAGAAACAGAAGAGAAAAGAAAAGCAATGGATGCTTTGACAAACCATGGTTTGAGGTATAGAAGGTACACAATTGAGGAGATTGAAGCTGCCACAAATTTTTTTACCGAGTCACAGAAGATTGGAGAAGGGGGTTATGGTCCAGTATTTAAGTGCCTTCTGGACCATACATCTGTGGCAGTGAAGGTTCTACGTCCTGACGCAGCACAAGGAAGGTCACAGTTTCAAAGAGAGGTAATAAAGCAGACAGACAAACTTTCTCTGTATGAAACACTTCGTATGCAATACCAATAAATGAAACTTTCGGGTAACTAAAACAAAGAAAAGGAAATCCCGGGGTCTTTGAATTGTACTAATCAAGCAGGGAGAAATGGATAAGATATATGGCAGGGGAGTAACATATCTTGGCTTGTCTATTTTGATGATATACTTAGTGGACATTCTTGCAGGGTTTTGAATTGGAAAAATTCTTCTCTGAAGTTAAAATACTTATAAAATGTTAGTGAGGGTGCAACTACAACTGATTTTAATTGAAATGCATCTTCAACTTGTGCTACTCACCTTTACTAGAGAAGGTTAAAGACTTTCTCATATTAAGCGACTTATCCTTAAAATTATGGTTGGTGACTCTAATAATTGTTCGAATATTGTGGTTTGAAAACCCTCTAAAATCATAACTGTCCACATTTGCCTACATTTTTCTGCGCTCGTAGTACTCACAAAAAAAATGCAACCATGATCACATCCACAATTTAAATGCATACTTTTGCATGAACATCACAGGTTGAGGTACTGAGTTGCATTCGGCATCCAAACATGGTTCTCCTCCTAGGAGCCTGCCCTGAGTATGGCTGCCTGGTGTATGAGTACATGGCCAATGGAAGCTTAGACGACTGCCTCTTCTGCCGAAGAAACTCACCCCCAATTTCATGGCAGCTCAGGTTCAAAATTGCAGCTGAAATTGGCACAGGATTGTTGTTCCTCCACCAAACCAAACCTGAGCCTCTAGTACATAGAGACCTTAAACCAGCGAACATCTTGTTGGACAGAAACTATGTGGCCAAGATCAGTGACGTAGGTTTGGCCAGGCTGGTTCCACCCTCAGTTGCAGACACTGTGACACAGTATAGGATGACATCGGCTGCTGGAACATTTTGTTACATAGACCCTGAGTACCAGCAGACAGGAATGCTGGGAGTGAAATCTGACATATACTCTCTTGGGATCATTTTCCTGCAAATTTTGACAGCAAAACCTCCAATGGGCTTGACTCATCATGTTGAGAGAGCCATTGAGAAGGGAACATTTGTTGATTTGTTGGATCCAAAAGTACCAGACTGGCCAATAGAGGATACCTTGAACTTTGCAAAGATTGCTATCAGATGTGCTGAACTGAGGAGGAGAGACAGGCCTGATCTTGGCAAGGAAGTGCTGCCTGAACTAGAAAGGCTAAGAGAACTTGCTGAGAACAATGATCACTATTCAATGTTTGGTTGCTATATTAGCCCATCCAATCAGAGCGAAGTTTCTCTTCAACTGGTAAGGTTCTATCAATTCGTGTTCGAATTATTAAGGATCTTTACAATAGTTTTTTTTGGAACTTATAATTGCTAATGCTCATAATTACTTATAAACTTAAGTTTTATGTTAAATATGTGAGTAATTAATCCGTTTACCTACACTTGATCTTCCTTAATTTGCATGACCCTTTTGCAGGATGAACCCAGTTCTCCACTTGCTTATTCTGGAGAGAGCTTGAAAAACCCATCAAGTCCTGTTTGACATTGAGTGAAAACAAGATCTTCTTTTTCAGCAAAATAGATAGAATGTTCGGTGAAAAAGTGTAAATTACATAGGTAAATTGATGTTGATTCTTTCAATTTGTGTGCATGGGATTCGTTCTCATTTCAATTTAGGTTGTAAAATTAGAAGAGTCAAAGTGTAAGAACATGAATGCAAGTTACTACACCGAGTCTGTCTTGGGAATATTTTGTCCGGAATTGAATTCTAGTAAATTTATTCTATTTAATTATTTACTATTAATTGATTTCTTACTATTACTTATCTACTTATTATAGTAATGGTTATTATTATTATTATTATTATTATTAATTAATTAATTAATTAATTATTATAATCTGTATATTTATTTACTCTGAAATTAGTTATAAACAAATACAATAAAAAAAAGTTTGTTGGACTCACATATAAGTAAAATTTTAATTATTCTCATTTATTTAACTATTTCATGTCAAAAACACCTTTATTTAATATAGATTTTATTTTCTATGACTTTTTTTATTTCTTGATATTAAGTTTCAGATAAAGCATTTTAGGAAAAAATATACATTTGGAATGTAATTAGTATAGTTAAATAATGTCAACTAACTCTTCTAGTTAACACTAAAATGAGATCATTTTCTTATATTTAAGTTATAATTCATTTCATTATATGGGTTCTGAACGGTTGGATCATCCAAACACCAGCAAAGAATCGACTTAAATCACTTAATCTTTTGTTTTTCTTTCCTGAATCAAATCATCTTTAGAAAAAGACTAACCGAATAGAATGTTCAATCAAGACTAATTTTGATGGATCAAAGGCTAGTTAACATCATACCATGTTTCTATGACATATGACCCTCTCAAATATTACATTTATAACCTATCTTAACTCTTTATTTATTTTAATATAGAAGGTAAGTCACAAAAGTCAAGAGTGACTTAAACTAAAACATGTAATAACTCCTATTGCATAAAAAATTGTTTACAACTATATTACATTACAAATAATGTTTTTATCCTTTAATTAATACTATTTACATGGTCATTCCAAAAAAGCATCTTCAAAGTCCTAAAGCTCCTAATTTTGTATCAGAGATCAGGTTTTGTTCTACCCGCATAATAAAATCTTCAAGATCCAAAAATGTAAACATTTAAATAATTAGACACTTAATTCAATTTAATTAAAATAATTAACAAATAGCATAATTGTATATAATTAATTCAACAGAAACGATTCACACAGTAAAGTATATTTATCTAAAGCAAATTATGACTAAAATACTTTTATAACCGTTTGATTAGGTAAACCCACATTTAAGTGTTTAGTGAAGCCATAATTTTCATTTTTATCCAAAGGTAATCCCACATAATGTAAATTACTTGACAATAATAAAAAATGTTAATTGTTAAGTGTTTAGTAAATAAAATCAATTTCCCAATATTTTCAGAATATCTTTTCTCTGCCCCCAAAAATCACATAATGCAATCAACTACGATAGTTTTTCTTATAGAAAGACAGCTGTTGAACAAAAATTTTGGAAGAGGAAGCTTTGATGTATTAGATAGGGGTATTAGGCACTGTGGTTCAACCAATATTCGCTATAATGTATTATTTGTTTCTAAAGTAAATATCTTATAGGCCTAATGTTATTGACACTAAACTAAAAAAAGAGAACAAAATTTATGGAATAATTATAAATATACATTTGACTCCATGAAAGAATATTGCATGACCCCTCCAAGACTGGGATTAATAATTGGAAATTGCAAGTAGCGAAGCCAATCACGAGAAAACTCTGCACTCATGCTAAAAATACAGATCAAAACTTAAAACGCTTCAACTTCTTCAACTTTAGCTTTCCCTTTTGGTCGACCAGACCGTCTCACGTCTTTTCCCGATAGTAACTCAAGGGCTTTTTCCACGGTCACATCGCTTGGCTTCATATTCTGAATGTCAATTTCAAAAGGAAAAGAAAATCGTCATACAACACAAATCCTAGCCAAACTCCGTTTAAAGTGGAAAATATTTGGACTTGGAAAAACAGTGTAATCAAATAAATTAGTACACCATTTTCGCAGAACAGACATGAATGGTTACAAGTGATTTATATACAATAGTAGTTACTTCAAATCAATCCGAAGAACTGATATTATAAGAACCCTGGGTTCCACCCATGGTGAGCAACAATAAATGATTAACGTAAAATGACACATCAAATAAAACAATTAAGTCCTAGTAAATAACCTAATACCCACTACTGGTTATGCTAGGTCATAGAATCAATTTTTGAAACAAAACAAAGGGGAAAAATAACAAAAACACATTCATTCACAAATTTGATTTCTAACATACATTATAGCTGTTCGTTTGCTTCATGGGAACAAGAAATTTAACCAGTTAGAATCAAAGAACGGTCAACATCTAAAGTTAGGAAAAGAGCAATGCTACATGTTTTGTTTCCCTCTCTTAGGATGAATGCGTTTCTTGATGCCTATGTTAGGATGGACTTTGGCAAGCCCAAATAGGCCTGAAACCCAAATGACTAAAAGACTGTAGAGAATGAGCTAAAATGTTTTTCTTTTGATTTTATTTAGTTCTATTCTCAATTGCCTAAATTAGATGAGGACACTCGTATGATTTTTATTGACAACAATTAGGTTATAAAAGTGTATCCCTCATTGGCTATCATCATCAATGAAGAAATATCAGTCTTGATTTTATTGTCTCTGTAGCGGAAACGTAGCTCTTTGCATCCTAACATTTAGAACTTCCTTTCTCCTACTCCTCTCCCAAAATGCGAGCATCTATGTACAACAATGGCTATAGTTTGCAGTATCAGTGGGCAGATTACTACTACCATTGTTCTATTTCAAACTTCAGCAGTTACTAGTGGTTATGCAACTCCAAATAGCCAGCATCCACCATCTTGGAGCAAGAGTCCATCTCTTATGCCATACTTTCTTTTCACAATCAACAAAAGACTGTTTCTTCTCAAGACACCAATTTTTTTCACATCACAGAACAACCCACCATCAGATTCAACCCACAAAGTCCATCATCAGTGAGAAGTGTCGTCCACTCAACCAGCCACAAGCTCATTCTCATATTCCCCTTCTGACCACACTGTTGGGATCTTTCGAGGGGGGTTTACTAGGAAAAACAACATCAATAAGATATAAGTCTAATCCATATAAGGGATTGACACCACTCTCAACCTAAAATCTTAAGATATTAGATTATTGGTCATACATTCTTATATGATATCAATCCCTTATATGGGTTGGACTCATGTCTCATTGATGTTGTTCTCCCTAGTGAATCCCCTCGAAAGACCTAACACGTAGTATCAAAGCCGAAAGTTGATCGACAATGGGTCAAATGGCGGAAGGGCTACTGATGAGTTTGAGGGGATGTATCAAGGTGGAGGAATTCATACTTGAGGAGAAGATTGTTGAGTAATCCAAGTGTGATTTTAAGTCTCACATTGAGTAAGAATGAGAAAGTTGATCAACATATACGGATATATGACCCATAACCCAATGCCTTAAGGTTTTTGGTTGAAAGTGGTGTCAATCCCTTATGTGGGTTGAGTTCATGTTTTCTTATATGTTGTTCAACTTTCTTATTCTTACCCAATGTAAGACTTAGAATCACACTTGTATTTCCTAACAATTTCCTCCTCAAGTGTGAATTCTTCCACGTTGGTACATCCCCTCGAACACACTAGTGGTCCTTCCATGTACTGTTTTTCACTCTAACGGAACACGCTTACCTGACTTCCTCTATCAGGAAGACTTTCGATACAAAGACCATTTTGATCCACTGCCGATCTCGGCTCTAATATCACTTGTTGGGATCTTTCGAGGGGAATTTACTGGGGAGAACAACATCAATAAGACATGAGTCCAACCCATATAAGGGATTGACACCACTATCAACCCAAAATCTTAAGACATTAGGTTATGGGTCATACATCCTTATATGTTGTTCAACTTTCTCATTCTTACTCAATGTGGGACTTAGAATCACACTTGGATATCCCAACAATCACCTCCTCAAGTTTGAATCCCTCCACATTGGTACATTCCCCTCAAACTCATCAGTAGCCCTTCCACCATTTGACCCACTGTCGATCAATCTTCGGCTCTGATACCACTTGTTAGATCTTTCAAGGGGGATTCATTGGAGAAAACAATATTAATGAGACATGAGTCCAACCCATATAAGGAATTGACATCACTCTCAACCCAAAACCTTAAGGCATTAGGTTATGGGTCATACTTTCTCATGTGTTGTTCAACTTTCTCATTCTTACTCAATATAAGACTTAACTCACACTTGAATACCCAACACATGATTCCAGACTCCTTTTCAGGGACTACTCCACTTCACACAGCCAATTGGCACCAAATATGCTTGAAAACTCAAACGGCTCAAAGACTATATAGGATGGGCTTTGATGTTATTTTTTAATGTTTTCTAGTTTTATTGTAAATTGGCTAAACTAAATAAGAACACTTGTACAATTTTTACGGAAAGCAATCAGGTTATAAAATTGTATACCTCGCTGACGGAATCTTATCTCAATTTTCTATGTAGCTTCCCCTCTAGCTTTTAATGGTCCAATGGTAGATTATTAGTATAGCAGTAGTGTAGCTCTTTGGATCGTAACAAGTTATATACTAAAATATCGTAACTAATTTAACCAGAATTAGTAAAATGGAGAATATCCACATTTGAATTTGCAAGTGATTACCGAACAATGCTCAACAAGTAACTATGTTGCAACGGTTGCATACACGGGAGGAGAAATAAAATCTAAAATTAGAAAAATGCTTAAAACTACCATCATACCTTAGGAACAGAAGCAATAGTGCGCCGATGTCTAACACAAAACCCAACTCTTGCAAGCTTTAATATGATGGGTTGTCCATCGTTGGGATGGTTACCCTGTACAAAAGCAAATTAATCAGTTCAACAAGGAATAAAAAATGCAGACAGGTTTAGACAAAGGGTTTATTAACATTAGTGCACAAATCAAAATATCATAAAAATGAATAATATTTTGAAAGAAAACAACCCTTCATTTAATTTCAAGTTCACATTGTTCATCTTGTTCATAAAAAATCATTAACTAAGGACGATGTTGGTAACACAACAGTATTTATTAAATTAACATCAAATATGCTTTTTATGAAACAATACACACAAACATATATAACAACAACTATATTATCTTATATTTATAATTGTCAAAATTTGGCATGCAAAATAAACATCGTAGAATTTAGACGGAGATTTTCTAAAATGAAATAGCTTGGATGTATGGAACAAGTTAAGTCCAGATTATGTGACTGAAGAGACAAAATAAAAAAATTAAAATCAAAACTACTAGAACTCCATATTTTAGGAATGTTTGTGATGGGATGGGACAAGTCACAGAGTGATACACCACCCTGATACCATGTTGAATTTAATGAGACAGAAAAGAATAGAATGAGCAAAGTTGCTCTCTTATGCAATATATGTTTTATGCAGAACATCGATTCTGTAGACTGTTTTCACATTCTCACTTTCCAAGAAACTAAATGTGAATGGGAGAGAAATGATTGGATTCATGTTCAAAGAGATGTCGAATGGTTTTGCAAACACTCTAATTCATATGCTACTTCCTTCGGTAAGTGATACTTATTCATACAAACATTAAATGCATTTAATATGCGATACTTATAAATGAACCCAGCGCACATATTCTAGCAAACATGATAAGAACCTATGGCTCAATTCGTAAACTGAGAAACATACCAACGTCAATGGGTATTGTAGCAACTCAAGTGCATCTTCAAGAGTTATAGAATCCACATCCTTGACCTGAAAGAACCCAATTGTTATTTCTTTCAGGTTTGACCTATTTTGACACCTTTAATCATATAAACCTCTAGTATTTACCATAAAAACACAACACATTATGCAGGCAGGTAACACATTTTTCTCTTAAATTTTAAACAAACATGGAAGATTCAACTTCTATTTGTCACAGATACATACTATTATCGGAATACCTTGCAACCATAGCCTAAAAAATAGTAAAATAAAATCAAAGTGTTGAAAACGGTAATGGGAAATACATGAGAGACAGAGGCTCTTTTAGGTATGTAGCTCTTCCTGTCTTCTCCGAGCTGAACATAAAATCCATAAGGACCAGTTTTCAAAAGAACCTGAAGAAAACATAAATGTCATTTATATAAAACAATTAGCAGCCTCAAAAGAAAATTAAAAGTCCTTTACAATGTAATCAAGACCAGGATTTAAAGCAAACCTTTTCATTTGAACCACTGGTAACACCTAGGAGTTTTGGTTCCTCTACTCTAGTGTTTGGCAGAGATGCGTCCTCTTCCTCCTCTGTACCGTATAATGTTTTAGCAATGTACCTGTTTTCAGCAACACACGAAAAATACATGACAGATTCGTTTGTATATTTAAGTTACAATTACTATAAAGGGTAACTCAATGTCACAAAGAGGTACTCGAAAAGTAGCAGACATAAAATTTAGATAAGATCCCATAAACTTAGTATATCTACTATTTTAAGAAACTATGCACTATATGTATTAATTGTTGAGACCTAGGAAAAGAAACAAGAAAAAGAATATTTTATCAAATAGAATGGAAAGAACAGAAAATAGGAGAAATGTCTCTTCTCCTTCACAAAGAATTGTTCCTCATACAAAGAACAATGAAATGATACTCATCTTAAGGTCCCATACCTTTAGTTCTCCTTCTACTTACTAACTAGTACAAGTGTCCCAATCAATTGTCCTAACTCCTCATATCTGTGAACCAAGGAGTTCTAGAAATACAAAAAAAATCCATAGCAAAGCAACCAATCGCTCAACTCAAAACAGTGGCTTCACCAAAAAAGAATAACAGGTATAATATAATGTTGAGCTGATCAAAAGAGAGAAAAAGATCTAAGGGAAAAATAAACTCTACTTGATCTATATACTAATAAGTAAAACTGTTTGCCTGTCAAAGGGAACAAACATCAAGCAATGAACAGTATATAATGATAGCCACATCATTAAGAACAATAATGACTCGTACATTCTAATAGAGATAAATGTGGATTCACATGAAAATTTCATCCTTTTTTTTTCAAATCTTGGGTTGATTTATGTATGATCATATGATGTCAACTCGTATCTTCAAATTTCCTTTCACACTATATGAATAAAATATCTTTGCAATGACACTTTTTTTTATTAAAGCAGTGCTGAAAAATCAAGTAACTTCCCCACATCATGTTGAACACAATTTGTTAATATAAGGTTTGTTTGGACATGTTTCTCCATAAGCACTTCAAAAAGAGAGAAATAAGAAAAAAAAAAGCGTGTTTCTCCATAAGCTGAAATTAGCTCATTCCATTTCTTCTTATTTTTCTTTCCTAGATGTGTTTATGGAGAAACTTGTCGAGACATACTCATAATACAACATTCTTCTAAATATGTAACATAGAATATAGTATATATTATAACAAGCACAACATTGAACACACATCAATTAGGTCAGAGATGGGAATTGCAAAATAAAACGTGCACTAAAAATACTCACTTGCACCTCGGATGTTGATCACAGCCTATAAAGTAGCCAGCACCAAATCTACTTACTTTAAAAATAAGTGTCCCTTCCATACAACTGAAACAAGTTCAAACATAACATATCAAGAGAAAACCTAACCAACATACAAAGCAGGATATAATGAATGTAACCAATGCCATTTTATAATCACAAACTACAAAATTAGCCCAGTATAGCGATAACATTCCAAAACATTCATACGGTTTATGTTCCTCAGTATTAGATTTCCCAGGGAGTCCTCTAGGAAACGTAGACTAAGCTCTAGTGCTGAATCAGCTGGGTAGCTAGTTTACTAGTAAGAGCCTAACTTCTAATCAGCTATAGTGACTGTAAAACTGAAACAAAATCACAATTTTCATCTTCACATCAGACCTTATGACCAAACAGAAAAAACTCAAATATTATGTTAGAAACCCAAATAGAAACTAGAGAACAGAAAATAATGATTTTATTTTGTTCATTCTAAACTTTAACTCTTATACAAAAGGACACCCTAAACTTTAGTTTCATTCTAATTGATCCTTAAACTTTACACTCTCTGTAAATAAATACCTTATAAAGAAATAACTAAAAAAAATGTTAAGAAACCATTATGTAGCAAAGAACCTGAACATATCATTCAACATTCTATTAGCTAATTCTAATTCCATACAAATATAATAATATACCTTGGACACACACGACTCTGGTCTGAAAAAGAAGCAAATAAAAAATCACCAAATTTTTTTTCCAACATTTTCTCAACCTACAACCATAAAAATTCATCTCATGAGTAAATATCCAAAAAGCATTACAGGATCCGTTAACATAAACAGCGCAATTAGAAAATATTCACAATTGCCACTAAAGGCTAGCATCAAATCTCAAACCCTGAGCGAAGTTACACCTGATGAATATGAACATTGGAAGTACGCTCACAATATGATTTAAACCGTGTCCAATAGTCTCTCAGTAGGCCCTTCCATTCGGTTACCCCAGCGGAAACATTATCAAGCTGAATCAAGAAGGAAACATAAGATAAGAAATACAAAATAAAAATATGCAAATAACAACAAACAACTAGATCAAACTGTAGTTAAAAGAATCAAATTAAAAAAACTGCGGAGGAGTCAATAAATGGTGTCAATTACAATAGTGATACAGCTTCCAGGCTTTAAAATTTGAGATGACAATGGATTAAAAGAATCAAATTAAAAATACTGCGGAGGAGTCAATAAATGGTGTCAATTACAATAGTGATACAGGTTCCAGGCTTTAAAATTTGAAATGACAATGGGTAGGTTATTGTACTAAAGTATGTGTACTCATGCCCACATTTAAAGAAAATAAGGAATGTAGCAGTAACGATATCAATGCAAATAGAAACTTCAATGTTCATTTGCAAACCCAACAGATACCTGTACAAGTGTAATCAATGCAGTTGACTATTGTGGGTACCCATTGGATTCAAAGCACATTGTCATCCTCATTTAAAATACACATACAATGGACAGCTTAAATGGGTCCAAGACCCAATGATAGTACATACCTCAGTTTCCATATCGGCAGTAAAACTGTAGTCCGTGACCTCTGAAAAATGATGCGACAGAAAAGCTGAAACCTAACCATCACCCAAAAAAGTGCATAAAATACACAGCATATTGAAGCCCATCTAACACTTCTACAAAGAAGAAATTGGCAATGACCAAGCTTAACTTGAATTAAGTAATAAAACTAGAAATAAGGAAAATATATACTATTTACCAATATGCCAGGAGCAGAAGAGAATTGTACGGGTTAATGAGAGAATATTGCTGAATTAGAATAATGAGGTAAGGAATGTGCTAATAATCTTTAAAGTTGATCAGCCCAAGATGCAAAATTAATCTTTGTTTGTTAATTGTTGAAAGTCCCACATCGCCTACCTCATATCATTTGGTATGGTTTAAATACATGTTAGGATATTCCACATATAGCCAATTGGTTTTATGTTGGAACCTTAACATGGTATCAGAGCCAAAGCCTAAACATCTTTCCGGTTATTGTCATGGGCCAAAAGTTGCCCTTTAGTTGGGTCAAAAGTACCCTTTGCCTGGTCCGGCGGGCTTCGTTGGAGGGGGTGTGTTGAAAGTCCCACATCGCCTACCTCATATCATTTGGTATGGTTTAAATACATGTTAGGTTACTCCACATATTGACAATTGGTTTTATGTTGGAACCTTAACATTAATCAAATTTCTATTCTTTTATGGAAATTAGGGCACCAGAATCTAAACTCTGGCATAATTTATCTTTGTTTTATGGATCCAAAAGACCATCTTAATCATCTTGTAAGTTGTTCATTAACCCATGACCAACATTCATCTTTGCAATATAATGGAAATTCCTGTTCTTTATAAAAGCCAGGACATCTGTGGATATGAGATTATAAACAGAAGTAATACTCTTACAGCGGTGATCAATGGAACGAATATACCAGTATAACAGTAATGGCACATGGGGCACCGCATTACAAAAACAAAAGTAGTGATAGCAATGAGACCCAGTATATACATCAAATGCAGGGAATTTGCATTAACGGAGACTTTTGCTCCTCCAGGATGATGTGTAGAAGGGTATGCGCATCAAATGCAGGGTATTTTTGCATGCACATGAGTTTGTTTTAATTTCCATCTAAGTTGATTCCTTTTCACTTATTTTCCTTTCTGTTTCATACAAATACACTGAGCCAATGATTTTATTGTACATCAAAAAAATAAAAGGTAAGCAAAAGTATATGTTGAATTTTATTGTACTATGTTAAACACTTTTTTGATGCATGAAAAAAGGCAGTGAAGGATTATTCTATAATCATCGGTATTAGTCTTTGGAGTGTCCTTGATGTGGAGTTTTATACACTTGGCCCGTAGTTTTAATCCACCACCTTAAACACATTGTCTAAACCCATACAGCAACTCAAATAGGAGCCTAAGCACCCTATTGTGTTGATCAACCATTACCCGTTTTGTCTACAATTTGGGAGGATATGTCACTTGATTTCATCATTGGCTTCAACCTATAAGGCATACATACATTCTTATTGAGGTCAACTAATTCTCCACAAGCAATCACTTTGGTGCCCTTCCATCACATTGCACCACTGTTAAGGTTGCTTCCCTGTTTATGGACATGGTTTGTAAGCTTCGCAGTTTTCCCTACAACTTGGCTTTGGATCAGAACCCATCTTCATCAATCAATTTTGGTGCAATTTGTTTAAATTTTGTGGTACTAAATTAGGCATGAGAACATACCACCATCCCGAATTCCCTGGAGAAATGGAAGTCCTCAATTGCATTTTACAAAAATATTTGTGTTCCTTTGTTCATGAGACACTTTCTCAAAGGTTTAAGTTTTCAATGATAGTAGTAGAGTGGTCCTCCAATACCTCAATGCACTCCAGTACATGCCTAACTCTTTATGAAGTCTCTAATGGTAAACCACAATTCTCTTTATTTGTTGGGCTCTTCCTTCGTGGAAGCAATGGATTCCTTCGTGCAAGCTGTTATGAAATTTCATGCCAATACTAAGCAACATGATGTCCAATTCTAGGTAGGGGATTGTGCATAAGACAAACTTTGCCCTTAGTGACAACACTTTCCAAAAGGATTAATGATCCCTTCCAGGTTACTGAAAATATTGCAATAGTTTCTTATAAACTTTAGCTGCCAAACGCTTAGAAATTCACCTAATATTTCAACTATTCTTTATTGAAATAACATCAAGCCACTCTTGTCACTACCCTGGCACCTTTACCACTAATGCTTTTGACAACCATCCCATTGTGGAGCCTTTGTCTATTCTTGATACTTCTTTTGACCCTCAAGTTCAAATGTTTGATCCAATGGCTTGGCATGTTGCCCAAGGATACCAAAGAAATGGGCTGATATTTGTTCTTCTTACCACCTTGAGGACAAACTGTGTTTCCCAAAGGAGACTTTTGCACCTGGATGTATGTCTAGAAAGGTGCAAGTGTCATGTAGGGCATTTGCACACACGAGTTTTTTATAACTCCCATTTACATTAATTCATTTTCACTGTTCTTCCTTTTCTGTTTCCTACAAATGTGGTGAGTCAATGGAGGTTATTGAACTTAGTTAAATACTCTTTGGACAGATAAAAGAAGGCAGTTAGGGATTATTGTATTATTTTTCTGCATTAATCAATATGAAATAATCATATGTTTTCTATCTATCAGTTTATCTAATTATAATATATATATATATATATATATATATATACATATATATATATAATAAAACAGACGATGATAGTATATAGACCTAGTCCTTAGATAAGCAATATCTATTGCTAATTATCAGAATGCAAAAGGACCTAATAAATGACTCTAAACCTCGAGGTACTCTCGGGGGAATATTAATTAAATATTACAATGTGATTATTGTTTTCATCCAAACAAACAATAAATTCGAAATTTCCCAAAGCTTACCATGCGACCACGAAATTCTGGAGACAGAACACGACTTTTTACCGTCACATAGTTTCTGTCCTGAGCGAACAAAAATAAGAAGGACTCAGAAACCTGTAAAACTGTATTGTGGACTCGGAAATTCAATTATTTGAATGGGAATAGTGGCATGTCCATAAATTTTCACGATGCAAATGCATATAGAAACAAAGACAACAACAAGATATGCATCAAAAACCATAAATCAAGTTTTGACAAGGATCAATAATAAAATAAAATAAAACTAAGTTTTTGCTTCTACAAGGTTGGATTATCAATTGTAAAGTGCAACATCAATGATCGTTTCAATGGATAACTAACTATCACTGCATCACAAGATCAACAAAGACATTCAAAAAGAAGTCAAAAATCATGATATGCAAGTGTTTGATTGATGACATTTTTTACTTAGTACAAGGATTTGCTTATTCAATGCTTAACCTTTCTCTTCAGATCAGAGCACTATTATCTTAAATGATACCAATGTGCTTTGTTATGGTGAATGAGAAAGTACTAACATCAGGTTAAAATAGAAACTACACTTATTGCATTGTTGGACGAAAATAGCTTAAAAATAAAATGTAAGTTAAAGGTGTTTGGTTGAAGAAAAGTGGAGAATATGAAAAGAGGTAGAGAGATGATTGCAAATAGGTGATAATAATATAGTGGATCTCACTATTTTTAAATTAGTTCCACTCTCCTTCTCTTAAGCCAAACAACTAAAATTATTTCCATCTTCTCTCCCTCTTCCATTTCTTTTTAACCAGACAAAGGCTAAGTAATCTAAAATGGCTGAAAACCAGAAGCAGCAATTTTTTGATCATCCAATTTCAAATTATCATAAAATCAGAAGTGAAGAATTATTGATATCCAAATAATACTAAGGAATGAGCACTTGTTAGATTTTTTTTTGCCTACACACAACCTATGATGGGAAGCATGTTTGGTTCAATTTATCTTGAATAAAAAATCAATCAGCTTTTAGATAAAGATTTTAAAAAGCAATGTTTCTCCCTTAAAATAATCTTAATCCAAACAAGCCATTAGATGGATTCATCAGTTAATTGATCCTCTACCAAATTCTGATATAGTTCATAGTAATAATGAAGCAAAGGAGCTGAGTAAAGCCAAAGAGACTAAGGTGTCTTTGATTGTATTTTTGCTTTTAGTTTATGAAAAGTATTATATTTCATAACATAAATTTTAAACTAAATTTAGACAGTAAGATAGTGGGAAGAAGATGAACCACTGCAACAAAGAAGATAAATAATAGAAAACTGTAAGTCGAAAACTAAAACAGCTAAGAGATGTTCAGTTTTTAAGATAAAAAAGGAAGACAGATAATTTCTAAAACAATTTTCAAAAACTACTCTTTCCAAACAAGCTTTTTTTAGTTTTTAGAAATAAAAAATAATTTTCATAATTAGAAAACAAACAAACCCTAATTTCCTAAAAAGACCGGTGTTAAATCAATAGACCAGAACAACTTATTCAATTATCTAACTAAACTACAACATACAATTTAAATTGTTACATTTAACATGATATAGATATATTATGTGATGGCATTACACTTTAAGTAGTAAATACCCTTAAAACTTTTATTGTGGATGCATATGTTGATGGCCTTCCAATCCCTAGCTCCTCAAGCTTCTTAACCTATATAATCATTTGGAAATATTAAATGCAGAAAACATAAGACAAAGTGCAAAAGAAATTAACACTGTCAGCCTTCCTTCTTGCCAGCACAAATCAATTATAAATTCATGGCGAACATTATATGTTGCAACAGATCTTTTTATTTTAGATAATTCAAGATTATAAATCATAGCTACGGACATATTGAAAAATTGAACATCCGGTTGTTATGCCAAATATAGTTCTCAACATGAAGTCAACAGAAATAACTACTTTGCTGACGAGGAACTAAACTCAACAATAGGTAACAGAAATAACCACTTTGCTAATGTGGCAAATGTCACTCAGTTTTAAAAAAACAGAGCATTTGAATACAGAGCTCCCAGCTCATTGAACTGAAGTAGGTATTAGTTCAACTAAACGCAATTGGCAAAGAAACCAGCAAATGCTTTTCAGCTAATGGATGGATCAGAATAATCAATAAAAAAAAAGGATCGTAGTACCAGATATGCCAGGAAAAGAAAAAACAAGGGCGTGATAGATAGAAACAAGGTCTTTTAAAAAGTAATTACATGCATTCCGGAAAGAATAAAACAAAGGTAGAAAAAAAGAATCATATCATGAATCAATTGAAAATTAACTAACACAAGAGTTGTAAGAAACAGTGAAAACACTTTTTCTTGTTTCATAGTTTCCTGTAGAAATAATATTTGAAACAAAATAAAAAATAAAAGTGAGAACAAAAAATACAACATTTGCTAAAGTATAAGAGGCCCCTGCAGTATATCACACCGCTCCTTTAATCAAATGACAAAAACAAGATGACTTACCAAGGATGCTTCGGAGTACCGTGGTGGCGGTTGGGTATGGTGCTGAGTAGGGTCAGCTTGAACCACATGTAATGGATCCCCTGCCTATAAAACAAAAGTAATGCAGGGATGTGTTGTAAAGGGTATAAATCGTGAGTAATTATGTCACATGTACAAAAACAAAGTCAAAAATAAGTCTCATTCTGTTTAAGGCGTATATGTCCAGGTCCTGGGGAGTAGTATGACTTTCAGTATAATAAAATGGAATTCACAAAATAAAAATAAAATAAAGTAACAATTAGGAAGCATGACTTATACATGGAAACATTCTTGAGCAACCGACTAAAAAATTTTCAAGACATGGAAACAACTTTGACCCACCATCTAAAATATTTGGGATATACATGGCTATAATTGAATTGGCAGATGATAACATTTATAAGATAGTTACTATTATTAGGTATTTGATTGGTATTTATGAGTGACTCCCTTATTACAAGTGTGTACCCCAGAAAACACACAAAAATGAGATATCTTTCTAAACTGTGGTATCAATAGTTTGGAATCTCCTTAGACAACACTAGTTTTATATTTTTTTTTTTGTTTCATCTGCCATAAACTGTACCCTTCCCCCTCCCAGGTCCAAATCTCCACTATATTTTTGGGAATGAAGGTCGCCCAATCCCAATTTGGTTTTGTCATTAATCAACAGAAGTATTTACGGAATTCTTGAAGACATTGGAATTATCATTTTTTGTCAGTGCTGACTGTTGGCATGGTTAGCAAGTGCGACCCACCCAGGACACGTGATAAAAGTGGGGCCCAAATTTTTGTATATTATTAAATAATAAAATTTTAATATTTTTTTTTGTTTTTATAAACAAATTAAAAGTATGGTTTTATTTTATATTTTTAAAATTACAATGAATATGATTAAAGAATACTAATATTTTGACATATTAATTTTATGTATCAAATTTATAAATATAAATGCATACTAAATGATATTTTAGTTTATCGTAACATTTGAAGTATCAATATGCAGTAAATTTATGATGATAGATTTAAACTATTTACGTCTTCTGACAAAGATAAGAAAGAAAAATAAAAGCATGATTTATATAAAAAAAAGGGTTTATTTATAAACTGTTGGAGACCACCTACAATCACTCTAGTAATATTCAATTCTTAGCACAAGGAAACATGTTGGAGATCCCACATTTACTAAAGATATAATATATTTTTTAAAAGACAAAAATTAAATTATAAACATAAAATTAATATTTTAAAGTATATAAGTAAATTAAAATTGTAAAAGAATGTGATAGATTTGATGGTAATTTACTGGAAGATGTTAAAATCCAATGAAGATAAGTTTGATATATAAATTTGTCTATTTTTAAACATGAATATTTCTCGTCCTCTATGTGAACTTGAACAGAGAAAGTTAACTGTGTCCACGACTTGTGTATTGTCATGCATACTTCATACATATATGCTTATGTGTATTTTTTCTTGAAGATATAAACCAAATAATAGACGACAGTAGATTCACAAGTACCAATCAAAGTCCCTTCTCAGATAACAAAATGATAGAGCAAACAATAGGGAAAGCAAAAACAGCAACCTATCTAAATAAACAGAAATGGCAGACTGCCATATGAAGAAGCATGTAATAGTTTTTATTAGTATAAATTATGTTAAGATTTCAGAAAGATTACCTTCAAGGAATTTAATACTTCAAATGTTTTATCAGGGTTCAATTCATCACTGTCTTTATCTTCAACAGCTTCAGCCACGATGTCCTAGAAGGAGGAAAAACCACAAATCAATCTTAGTTTCCTAGTCATATAAAGATACAGGCAGACATTGTCTACCACAGCTGAAATTGATAGAGAAAAAACACCATTTTTGGGCCAACTTCACCTTGACCTAAAGTGTAGGTACTTGACAAAAACATAAAAGGAATGCTCAGCAAAATAATGCTATAGGATCTAGAATAAAGGGAATTATAGTAGTTACTAATTAGAGGGATACTATAATTCCACGTATTCTAAATACTGATATTCTGAAACAAAATGTGTCAAATGACAGCCCCTGACAATAATACAGATTTGAATCAAATGTGAGCAACATCAAATCCCTCAGTCTGTTTTATCCAGCAATACATACAAAATAGAATCACAAGCGTCGTGCTTAATTTTATACTTTTGGGATGTGGAAACTCCAGAGTAACAACCTCTGCATGCATTAAACAAGATAGGTACATTTTAAGCTTCATTTTATGATACCTTGTTCAATATCAAAACATGATATTAACTATTAAGTAGAAAACATACTTCAAATCCTATAACTTCGGAAATTTACTTCAACACAAAAAGCATTATATTTGAAATTCAATTGCTATATACTTTTTCCCAGTACCATCTAACTGGCACTTACACTCAAGACTAATACTAATAGTAAAAATAATAACAATTTAGTTGACAGCAAATAACAATAATAATCATATGCTTGTCATTATTATTCAGGTATTGTTAACTATTATATGCATAGTTACAAATTATATGCAGGAAACCAACCATACCGTAGAAACTGCCCGAAATCCAGGGAACACAACCATTGAACTGGAGGAACGTAATATAATAGACTCATCAGCATTTCCAATATCAAGATGTATCTGGAATCAAAAGGACATTAGGAAAATGTCTGGTCAAACATCCAATGACTGATGGAAGCAGATGAATATCGAAATACAAATGTAATTTCAACACAGAAATTGGTTTGACCTATTTGTAGCAGTGTTATCGAAAAACGGCCATGTTGACACCATGTCAGAAAAACAAGGCAATGGCAAATCAAGTTTTGCATGGCAGCCATTTGACTGTCACGAAATGGTGCCACGGAGCAGTCATGGTGAAATCTTGCTCTCGCAGCCGCGAGGCTTACATTGAGAGGTGGAAAATGTGTTGGTTTGCATGACCCTAACCAAGGTTTCTACTTTTAATCTGATATTTTTATTGTGATTGTGTGGGTTTTCTTTTGGGTTTATAAGAGACCCCGGCCACTAGCAGCAAAAATAAAAAAAGAAAAAACGTTAACTCAGCAGCCCAACCTAAACCAGACAGCAAGAAAAGAAAAAGATCCAACACAGCACACATCTCTCGCACTTTTGCCTCACCAAAGACCTGAGTTGTCACTGCGACCATTGCAGCTCCATGTTTAATTTGTGGCTTTTTTTATCTTTTCATATTTTTAAGACCATTTTTTTTTCATTCTTCCTTCATTCATTAGTAAGGTGAACCAACCATTTTTTTTGTTTTTGCCTTCCTTTTCATTTTTTTTTTCATTCAGCCCCAATTTTTATTCTTTCATTGTCCTTCCTCTTTGTTCCAGCCACAGCCAACCTCCCCAAATTTTTTATAATTTATATATGTTGAGACATGTTTATCTATCTTTGTGTATTCTCTATATATGCTCTTTAGGCTATAGTTAAAAGTTTGGGTTCAGACCCATATCCTCTTTGTTGTATCTCCTTTATCTATAAATACAATAAAACAACGCCTTTGGACATTGTATTGAAACCCTAAATAAGTTTCTCAAGTTAGTATCATAGCAGGTAAGATCCCACAATTTCCGAAACATCCCAGTAATCTCCGGCCGCCGCCACCAGTCGCCACCATAGTTTGGTTTGGTGAAGGTGGGGTTTTGTGCGCCTCGCGACTCACCCCCGCCAATCGCTCCTCCATATGCGGCCTCACGACATGTGCAACTTCTCAAGGAGTAACTCTTAGGCGCGTGTGTCCCATATGCCGCCTTCCAATGGCTGGAATCAAGGCCGATCACCACCGATCAATTCGTCGATGTCCTCCAAGTCCAATTCTGTTTTGGGAACTTTGGAAGCTAGGTCACGTGGGTATCCCTATAGGTTAAGTTTATCTTTCATCTCTAATTCAGATGGCTTCATCCAGTGCTTTTTCTTTCTCTGCTACTCCCACCATAACCAGTGTCAAACTCAATTAGAAAACTTATCTATCCTGGTCTGCATCAGTTGAACTGTGGTTTCCAGGTCAGGGGTATCATGACCATCTGGAGAAAGATCTAACTCTGTTTCTACCTCAAAAAAGATCTCAGTGGAAGAAAATAGACTTCTAACTTTGTGCAATCTTATGGCAGTTTGTGGAACCTAAGGTTCTTGAGCTTCTCACGTAATTCAAAATATGATCTTTGTTTTAGAAAAAGGCTCAAGACATTTGTGCTAACGATATTTCGCGTCTCTTTGATGAAATTCAAAAAGTGACGTCTCTCAAGTAGAAGAATCATGACATGATTTCTCACATTACAAAAGCTAGGGCTGTTGTGGAGGAATTTAAAAAGTTTATTGTGGCAAATACCTTGGAAAAGTTAAACTTCAAACTGAATAAGTTGTATATGGTCCTAATTTTGAGGAGTTTGCACTCATTTTGATCATGTACGTGATCAAATCTTAGCTGGTGATCAAGTTTCATCACTGATAATCTTGTCACGAGACTGATTTGAGTTCTCAATCTTATAACAGATGAGAATCAGGTGTGAAGACAGTTGAAACTTAAACTATGATTGCTCCTCACGGTCGAGAGGGGCAGCGTAACAGTCGACGAGGACATGAGAGTACAAAAGGTCATCCTCAATGCTCCTATTGCAATAAGATGGGGTACATGCAGCTGCCCATGTCTCTAAGTCTGAAAGACCGGATATGAAGATCTCTGATAAGGAGTATCTCGAGTTTTTGAAATTCAAATAAGGAAAATTCAATAGCCAGGGTCAATCTTCTTCAATGCCAAGTGTTTCAACAGCATTCATTTCTCAATCTGTGGAAGGTCAGAACCCATGGATTCTTGATTCAGATGCCTCTGTTCATATATCTAGTAATAGTTCCTCAATTTCCTCCATGTCCTATCATAAAATTCCTCATCTGATTATTGTGGCTGATGGATCTAAAGTAAAGTCACAAGGAATTGGCCATGTTCTGTAACCTTTAAATTTTGTTCTTTTTATTTCTAATTGCTCTTATAACTCGATTTCTCTAAGTCAATTGACTCATTCTTTGAATTGTTCTGTAACTTTTAATTCCAGTTCTTTTGTTATTCAGGAACATAGTACAGGTCGTCTGATTGGAGAAGGACATAAATCACATGGTTTGTACTATCTGAATCAAAATCCTTCGATGTCATGTCTTACTTCTCCTACTCCTAAACTTTTGCATGATCATCTAGATCACCCAAGTTTACCAAACTTGAAAATGATGGCTCCTAATCTCAAACATCTTCGAGGTTTAAAATGTGAATCTTATCAATTAGCAAAACATGTTAGGTCTACCTTTCCTAAACATTCTGAGACTCGATATAATTTTCCTTTTTCATATATTCATTCTGATGTTGGGGACCGAGTCATATGTACTTGGGTTTATCTTCCCAAGGCATTTTACATCAATCAACTTGTCCTCACACCCTACAGCAAAATGGTATTGCAAAAAGGAAAAATAAGCCTCTTATTGAGACTATACGCTCTCTAATGTTGAATGCTAGTGTCCCTGTTCATCATCAGGGAGATACAATTCTCACTGCCTGTTTTCTTATCAATCGAATGTCATCTTCTTCTCTTCAAAATCAAATTCTTCATTCCCTTATCTTTCTATATGATCATCTTTATCATGTGTCTCCTCATGTATTTGGTTGTACTTGTTTTATACATAATGTCTCTCCAGGTCTTGATAAGCTACATGCTAAGGTCATTAAATGTGTCTTATTGGGATACTCTCGCCTCCAAAAAGGGTACAAATGTTACTCTCCATCCACCAAAAGGTATTATATGTCTGCTGATATAACATTCTTTGAGGAAAGACCTTTCTTTTCTTCTCCCATGGTGGATGATTCCTCCATTCAAAATGTTCTTCCCATACCCTCATGTGATCCACTTATAATACCTAATCCTTCTCCAATTCAACCTATAAGTCTCAATGATTCTCCTCCTCTTCTCACATATCATTGCAAGACCCCACCTATATCTTTACCAGTTTCTACAAATAATTGTGATTCAGAACCTTCTCCATCAACTTCTCATACCATAAATCCTTCAACCTCCTCTCCCACTTCTGATTTTGGATGGCCTATTACACTCAGAAAAGGTATTCGTTCCACTCAGAGTCCCTTTCCTCTTTATAATTTTTTGAGTTACCATCGTTTGTCTCCTTCATATTCCTATTTTGTTGTCTATTTGAGTGACACCACTATTTCTAATAACGTCCATAAGGCTCTTGATCACCATGGATAGCAACAAGTCATGATTGATGAAATGCAGGCTCTTGAGCACAATGGCACTTGGGAGCTTGTTCCTCTTCCTCCTAGCAAAAAGGTTGTAAGAGGATCTATATAGTTAAAGTTGATAATAATGGTAAAGTGGATCATCTCAAAGCTCGTTTAGTAGCTAAAGATTACACTCAAATTTATGATCTTGACTAATGTGATACCTTCTTTCCAATAGCTAAGATTTCCCCTATTCGTCTTAGCTGCTATTTGTCATTGCCCTCTTCACCAACTGGACATTAAAAATGTCTTTCTTCATAGTGACCTTCAGGAAAAGATTTATATGAAACAACCACCTGGCTTTGTTGCTCAGGGGGAATCTAGTTTAGTGTGTAAGAAACACCATTCTCTTTATGGCTTGAAACAGTCATCCCGAGCTTGGTTTGAAAAATTCAATCATGTTGTGCAGTTATTTGGCTTGAAAAGGAGTGAAGCAGATCACTCAGTGTTTTATTGTCATTCCTCTTCAGGCAAGTGTATATCTTATGATTTATGTTGATGATATTGTTATTACAGGCAACGATTATACTAAGATCAACCAACTGAAGAATCATCTATTTGCTCACTTCCAAACCAAAGATTTTGGTCAATTGAAGTATTTCTTTGGTATTGAAATGGCTAAGTCGAAGGAAGGTATGATCATTTCTCAAAGGAAGTATGTTCTTGATATTCTAAAGGAGACAAGTTTAACAAATTGTAAACCCATTGATACCCCAATGGACCCTAATCCTAATCAGAAATTGATGGGAGATAAAGGAAAAAAGTTGCCAAAACTAGAAAGATATAGGAGGTTGGTTGGTAAACTTATTTTTCTTGTTATTACCTGACTAGATCTTTCTTATGCAGTTGTAAGTAGTTAGCCAATTTATGCAAAATCTTGTACTGATCACTAGATGCCTTGATTTGCATTCTGAGATATGTTAAAGGGGCCCCAGAACAAGGATTGTTGTATAAAGATAAAGGTAATACTCAAATTCTAGGTTATTATGATACAGAGTGGGTTGGTTGTCCCATTAACAGAATTGAGAGGGAGTGTTGAGACATGTTGTTTAGTTATCTTTTTGTATTCTTTGTGTATGTTCCTTATGCTAGGATTAAGGGTTTGAGCTAAGACTCATATCCTCTTTGTTGTATCTCCTTTATCTATGAAGACAATGGAACAATGCCTTTTGACACTATATTGAAACCCTAAGTTTCCCAAATATATACATAAAAAGTTCATCAATTTTTCAGCAATTTCAGTATCAACTAAATAATGCAGTTTAGAACTTAAATTTGATGTTTTTATTGTTATTTGAAATACTATACTTAATATTATTATTATTAATTATATGATTAATTTTTACATTTCAGTTATAGATATATATATATATATATATATATATATAATTTTTTTCCGCAATACTTCTGTCATAACCTGTTATGATATCAGTTATAATTTTATAAAGGATTTTTGGATTGCTGATATTTAACATTATCCATATCAACAATACTAATTTGTAGTACACAAAAAGAATCTACCATCAGTAGACCTGGAAATAAAAGGAATAATTTTTAAGCTACACAGGTGTTTGGCTTATTGTGTATTTACTTTTTTTAACATCATATATTTTTCACACATGCATAGAAGCCGCATGATTTCTTACATTTTCAATCTCCTAGATTTTAGTTTTGCTGTTTGTTTTTCTTAATTTCCTAAACCTACCAATAAAAGATAAAAGTATACATTTCCCATGTCCTATGTTCTAGTTTCTCCCTTCGATTTCTTGATAGGATGTATCTTTTTTCTTATAAGACATAATTTCATTCACCTACCAATAAAGCAAAATTGTGGCTAAGTTTAGAATTGTAAGTTAATCTAATCCAATACTGCAGGTACAAACTAAAAAAATAATGGCTAGTTTATAACGTACTTTAAGGTTCACGGAAATATGCAACATATGTTGAAGGATATTCACAGTAATTTAACCTGCTCAATGACAGCAGGTTCCATTTGACAAGAAACTGTCCGTGACCAAATAAGTGTGTAGAGCTTCAAAGATTCTTCATCAAGTATCCCAGTAAGCATTGCTGACAAAACATCAAGAATTAATATTATTAGCGGTTACCTTTGGGACACCAATCAAGTAAAATATTCACAAAAGAAGCATGTGTCATAATACATGGCAACTTGCATATGTCGGTTGGTCTAATGGCTTCATGGGCCTCTTGTGCATTTTTCACCTTTTTAAAATATTTTGGTGCACTTTGTGACGCAAAATCTTGTCCATACCTGATACAGTAAATACTCATTCATGCACGTGAAAAACAACAAAAGATATTTCTATAGCTTGGATTTACTTCTATAGTTTTAAGAGCATACTTAAGGACTTTTTCAGATAAGTTGTATATAACCATCAAATAAGAAAAGAGTAAGAAGAAAAAAAATGAAATAAGTTAAAAAATCAGATTTTGGAAAAAGGCAATATGAGAGATTTTTTCTTCTAATTTTCTTCTTCTAGAAGTTCTTACAGAAAAATTTATCTAAACAGGCCTCTATTCAATTCCCATATAGCGTTCTTACCTTCCTTTCAAATTAAAATTCATCTACCAAAATTTTTTGAAAACTATATAATGTTATACTATACACTAGCATCATTGTATCTGTAAGGTTTAAATCCCAACTTACATGTGTGTTTAGTTAAATAACTAGACATGGGGTCATTCGGGTTGCATTGATTCGCATAATACATTACTCAGTATAATAATGAAACTATGATAACAACTATATACAGAAAGGTGGATGAATGACCATTACCTTTCAATGATCAGCGAGCGTACATTAGCAACAGCTTCATCAGAAATCTAAGTAAATTCAAGGCGAGTTGTTAAAATAAAAACAATAATCTGTAAACAGAATTACTAGGTTCACAAAAAGAAAAAACACTAAACATGTCATCCACACATGCAAACCCGCAAGAAAAAAAATTAAAATTGTGATACGAAGAATCATGGGGAATTGGTAATCACTTTTAAGTAGACAAGATTCATGAAATGATTGTAAATGTGGGTGGGTGGGAAGGGGATACAACATACAAGAATATTTGGAGATGGCACGGTCAGCTTTTGTGGATAATTAATTGTATATTTTTCAATCACATTGATGCAACCAAAGAAATACCTACATGGAAGCCATCGGTTCTTATGTATGTTATCAGACCCACAGCTACACCATCCGACAGTTCAACTCCCTCATAGAGCTTCTGTGCAAGCTGCACTCGGAAGGCAATTGAGATTAATTATAAGAATAATTCTAGCAGATTTAAAATTTAAACATAATTGAATATTAATTCTACATCTGTGAATAAATAAGAATAAAAAAATAAAAATTCTAGTACCTTCATTGTGTGACTTGCTGTAAAATGCAACTTGTTTGCAGCATCTTGCTGAAGTGTTGATGTTATGTAAGGTGTTGGAGGATTTCTTCGAGTTTTGCTTTTTTTCAAGCTAACAACCTGAAAATCCGCTGAGTTTATATTGCTTTGAATATATTTTGCCTCTGTATCAGAAGTAATTGAAAACTGATTCAACTTTTTTGAATCAACATGGGTCAAGTGGGCAGGAAATGTAACGTTCTTGTTTGATCCCAGATCTTTATTTTTCAATTGAACCTCCACAGTCCAATATTCCTGCGGTTTAAATTCATCAATTTCCATTTCCCTATCGCATATAAGAGCAAGTGCAGCAGATTGAACTCGTCCAGCTGATTGGCAACCCGGTAACTTCCTCCATAGTAATGGTGAAATGTTAAACCCAATCAAGTAATCAAGAGCCCGACGTGCAAGGTAAGCCTGCACCAAATTTACATCAATCTCTCGTGGTGTTTGTAGAGCATCTTTTATAGATTTTTCAGTTATTTCATGAAAGGCTACTCTTGCTACAGATATATTATCGTGTAGAGCACCCTGTTGTTGTAACATCTCGATGATGTGCCAAGCAATAGCCTCCCCCTCTCGATCAGGATCTGATGCAAGAATAAGGTTTTCTGCTCTGTCAAATAACATAAAATGAATTAAGCAAGATACATGTTGTCAAACACCTATGATGCAAAGATACTTCAAAATTGGCAACATTTACATGTTGTGCCATACTGTATACCCATTACACATTATACGTCTGGCTCATTGTGTTATTTACTAATTTTTTTATATACTAATTTTATTTAGATAACAAAGGGATAATTATCATAACCTGAATATAATATTTTGATTTTGATTATTATTGTTGGAAACTGAAGTATATTGTTCAGAATTCAAAATCATATTAATAGTCAATCAATGTATTGAAGGAAACAGTTATTTTAATAGGTGTCTTGAAAGTTGCGAATTTTATTTGTCATCTATTATCTTTTAATCCTCCTGCCTATAAAATGAAAATTGTTGGGTGAGTTAATCACTGAAGCAAATTCAAAAACGTTCTGTTCAATTCTTATTCTCACAAAGTACCAAAACTCCCATATTAAGGTGGGCCGACATCCAGAAACAACTTTTTGGAAAATATGGTTGGGCATTTTGGGAGTGTTAGAGCCCTCATGTGTGCTCTCACACATTCTGTCTTCGTAACACTGCCAATCTGCAGAGTTTAGATCAAATATTTCCCCAGTAGGACCACTGGCCGGAATTTTGTAGCCGAAATCTGCTTTACTTGACCTATTTCTCCATGCATTTTTCACACAACTCCCTCTAGCCATTGTACATAGCCAACAATTGATCCAATTACATAACAACCAGTCTCCCTAAACTTGTTATGAGGGTCAATTTCTAGTGGCTTATCTGATTTATTGGATATTTTCTTTATTCACCATTGATGGTTTGACAGAGGGATGTTTGTCCTGCCTTCATTTTAACTTCTAGTTCCTATAAAGTCTAAACAGAAAATTTTGGAACATAAAATGTATCCAGGCTGCTTATTGACTGAACAGGAAAAACTATAAGAAAAAGGTCGCAACTTGTTCATAACATGTTAAAAGGGAGAGATATACTCAATCACCAACAGATACAAGACAGAGATGGAGATGGGAGACCCAAAACATACTCCTATAAGACCTAAGACACATAAGATGGGTACTATGGATGAAGGTGCAATGATGGATAAGGGGATGCATTAGCCTTTGGTTCGGAAATTAATTGACCTGTCCCAAACTAGACTAGACATTGCATTTGCTATAAGTTTGGTTGGTCAGTTTATGCACAGCCCAATAAATGTTCCTTTACGGTAATCATATTGAAGAGCCACCAAGTTTAGCTCCGGAAAGATAATATATAAATGTAATACCAAAAACACGCACCCCAACAAAATCACCATAACAATCCAATGCTGCCAAAAACAGAAGCAAGTGGAGTGAGGGGTGGGAAAATGTACCCGCTCAGAGCAACATTGATGCTCTTCAGATGAGTCCAGGCAGGCGACGGAACCTCCCACACCATACTAAAATCTTCATCAGGTCGCACCGACCCAGATCTTGCAGCCAAGTCTCTCACATGACCGTAACTTGGCAAGACTTCATACATATCACCAAGGTATCCCTTAATAACCTTTGCCTTTGTAACAGATTCCACAACCACCACAGACTTTCCAGAGGGAGGATACAATGGTTTGTACGTAAAATTCCATAGGGGTTTTGTCTCTTCAATCAGACTAGAATTCCCATTTCTCTTCTTCAACACATCTTCCACAGAGGCAGAATTATCCTGTGTTTCTTCAGTTGCACTCTCAATTGAACTCTTTTGAATAACCACAGTATTAGTGTCATTCTAGGAAGCACAAATACAACACATGACTCATATTCAATATGACAGACAGAGAAATACAGCAAATTATAAGAGACAGCGGACACAAACACAACATACAAATTATCTAAAACTAACAAAACAAATAAACCTTAAATCACAAGAGAGAAATAATTTTTAAAATAAGCAAATGTAACAGACATATACTAAATTCATTTCAATTATTATAGTATTTTTATATGTATTGGTATAAAAATAAAATTCTAAACAATCATATCAATACCACAATGTATACAGCAAGTGTCTAAGACGATGGGCATAAGAAAATAAACAGGTAAAATTAATTAAGTTTCTACCGAGGGCTAAAATAAACTTATAATTTCAACTTTTACAAAAGCTTCCTCAATTATGCTCGCAAAAGCTACTAATTTTCCCTTATGCATAAGTCATAAGCTGAATTGAAAGTGGGGGGAGATTAAGTTCGCCATTGGATAAACTTCTCTATAAGCAAAAAAAGAAATAAAGCAAATTCCTCTCATGAGTTAAAATAAACTTATGCTTAAGTTAAAAACTGTTTTTTTTAATACACTTATCTCATTTTTGCTTCGTATTACTTCTGTATAAAATTAGGTTTTTCCCCTTATTGCAACTTATACATAAACTAAATTAATTAAATTTATAAAGAAAAACTTCATTTAGTTTATCTTTTGATTCAATTCATAAGTTAATAATAGGTTAGATTTAATTTATTTTATCTTCTTATTTTCTTGTGTAAGTACACTTGTTCAGAAGTTTACCCACACTTACAGTAGTCCACAGGTGTCAATGTCATTACTTCAATACCAGGTATCATTATTTCCTTACTCGAAAACTTTCAAATGCTAACCTTGGAAACCTTCTTCTTTTTCCCTTTGGAAGATTTTCCAGAAACTTCTGCAACACACTCCTCTTGCGCGGAAATGCTTGCAGCAGACACCTTCTTGCTCAGCGAAGGCTTCTTCTTCTTCTTCACCGTTTTCTTCTTCGCAGTTTTCGCGTCCTCTTCTTTTCCACTTGCGGTGCGTGACGACCCCTTCTTCTCGTCACCCAAACTCTTTCCAGAAGCCACATTGTCAACATCTATAGACGCATCGTCGCTTATTACACTCTCGTCGTTCTCCTTTCCACGAACGAGGACAGCCTTCGACCGTTCCTTCTGATTTCCACTACCCGCCACGCGCGTCGAGAATACCTTCGAGAAGACCCCGTGGCCAAACTGCGTCGAGGAGTACTTGGCAAACGGAAAACCGAAGTAGTCACCAAACGACGTCGTGGACTTCACTGCGAAAGAACGGCAGTGGCTCCTCTTCGCTGTCACGCTACGAGGAAACAATAGACACGGTCGACGACAATGGATGGTGGTGCTGGTGACGGCTGACGCGGCGTGCGGTGAGAGCGCATTTTGGGGAGGCTGAAGCGCCCTGAACTGAAACGGCGTTTCACAAGCAAAACACGATCACGTTATTGCCACGATGACAACATAAAATAAATTAATAAAATAGAAAATTAAAATAGAGGATGACCATGAAGTGGCGAAGAGAGAGTGTGTGTGAGGAAGGAAGTGAGGTGGAGGAGGTGGTGGTGGTGGTGGAGAAGAAGGTTCTGTGAAGTTGAATCATTGCTGAGGTGTGTTCATTTTCATTGATGGTGGTGAACGAAGGGAGGGTTTTGTGGGAAGAGGTTTAAGGGTAACGGCAAAAATAAATAAAAAATGGCGTTGTCTCTGGCAATGAACAACGCTGAGGTATATATATATCGGTTTAGGATATGTTGGGAACGGTGTAGGGGACTAAATGGGCTGGGCCTCGCCTTTTTTTTTCATATAAAGTGTTTGCTTTTTCACATCATCCTATTTTTTTGAAATGCCAATTTTGCCCGTGTTTTTTATTTTGAAGAAGAAGGTTATTTTTTTTCCTATGGCAAAATTTTGGCGTTTTTGAGATTTGTTGGCCGTGGTAAGCGGCAGTCTGTGGTGGTTGGTGTTGGAAAAGTTGGTCAAGGTGGTTTGCCTGTATTGTTCACCTCAATTGTCTCACTAGGAGTTGTTTAATTTCATTCATTTTTTATATGACCAAAACATATTTAATAGAATACACATGTGAAATTAAGAAAATATTAAATACCATATTGATAATAAAATTTAATGTTCTTAACTTATTAGCAGGAGACATAATTATAATAAAATTATAAAATTTTGTATAGATGAACAAAAAATATAAATATTAGGTATAATATGGATAAGCAGTAGATAGTTTAGTGTATTTTATTTAGAAATAATAATTAAAATAAATCTTGTAAATACACATGTCTCTCGTTAATTTTTATTACTATAATAATAATAATATTTAACATGACTCTAACTCTATAAAATATAGAATGTTAGTTCTTATTGAAAGTCATGATTTACAATATTGATTATTATATAATTTGTATGAAGGATCAAATTTTTAATATCTGATGTTAAATATTCATTGTATACATGTAAAATTACTAAACATATTACGTCGCTTAATGTTTTAACTAGTGTGAAAGTGTTTTTCTACATTAATTATGATCACAATCAATGTTGAAAATTGGCTTTTTATTTGTAATTTTCTTTTTATTTATAAACTAATCTCAACTCTAAATAATAATCAATAGCAAAACAAATTTACTTAAATGTGAAACAATCTTAAAAAAATATATATATATATATATATATATATATATATATATATAATGGTTTAAAAAGTATATTATTCATAATGTTTATAAAAATAGCTAACAAATAAGTGCAACTAACACATATTTACAAAATTAAGTATAAATATATATTTTTTCGTCATTTTCATAAACTTTGATACCCTACTTATTTATAACATCTTCAATTGCCTCTTAGGCAATATTCCTTTTTTCTAAACACCTACAACATAAAATAAATTGTAGTTAGTGTAACAGTGTAGATGGATATTATAGAACTAAAATAATAAATATCATGTAATTTGGTTCCAAGAATCTCTTATGTTGCTCGTTACTATTAGTTTCATCCATACATTACATCGTAACTACACTCCTAATTCTGAGGTTGTCTATTACACTAAAATCAAGTAATATGTTAATCAACATTGTAAAATAATGCATTCATATTAGAATATGTTGGCAAGACATCAATTAAGATAATAAATGTAATCATAATATAACAAATACATACGTATTCATTATGTTTTTATGTCAATTTCTAGTTTACAATTTAATGAACAAAACTAGTACACAATGTTGTTCTTTGGACAGATAAGAAGAAGTTGTCAATGATGTTTGTATAATTACAAATAGTTAGAATGTAATTAAATAGAAATATAAATAATTACTAACAAAGATTGACTTACTCAAATAAATAAGCATCAAAGTAAATGTTTTTCCTCAACTCTAACATCCAATTGTGCATGTATATTTGAACTTATAATCTTTTATCCCTAATTTTTAGATAGACTGATGTTCGAAAAACCCATACACATCTTTAATCCCTACTCCTCGGATAATTCATTTTACATCCTAAAATAATGAATATAAGAAGCTTAGTATACTTTAAATAATGCAATTAGATTTATAAAATGAATAAGCATAAATATTAACTTACATAATCTAGAATTGTAAGATAAATATGTTTAGACATTGATTATTCATCGTTTGTTCCAAGACATATGTGTGGGCAACGTAAAGGGGAAAGTTTGGATTGTCTACCTCAAACTTCTTTGCATCCCAAGTTATTTCAAAAGATTTTATGTAAAGGTGTGGGGCAAAAAATAACAACTCAATATATTTTATTTTTTGGGGGTCCAACATTTGGTGCTTTATCCCAAGTTAGGCGTAGCCAATTTGTTTGACATCTCAGCATCCTAAACATGTCATAAACAAATATATTATCTTACAAATAAGATATAATTATATTAAAATGTGATATAAAAAATAAATACATACCTTACTTTAAACAAGTCTTATTAAGTGTCTAGGCCAAGTAATGAAGGTTTGTAAGGCTTGCTCCACTAACTTCACCTCTTTAGTGGGCACAAGAACTCGAGCATCAACATCTTGAACTTCTTTAACCACCACTCTCATTAGGTTTAGGTGTCAAAGGAACACCATGGATGGTTGAACCTCATTCCTGAGTTGTACAAATGGCCATCAAACGTGGTTGGACTGGATCATCCTCAATCCATAACTTCACTGATATGGCTTACCAGTGTTAGTATTGAAGGAGTAGCACATGCACCTAATGGAGCATCAACACTCATACTTGGATGACTTTGTTGCGAGGTAGCCATATAAGCTAATCATAAGGCATATACACACATGAACTCCTCTTGAACTTGTGTAGTAATGGTCAGAGTCAACTTCTCTGTAAGATGCATTTCCAACTAAGGCATCTCTTGTTTGCTCAAAGATGATGCAGTGTGGGCATGTGATGATGACCCAAAGTACTATTGAATATCCATACCAACTCCAACAACACAAACACAACCAAGGTGTTTTGATTGTCCAATGGTGGTCGTCAATATGTCTTGTCGACCATGAGGAGTAAATGTTCCTTGCATGCATTGCTCCTCCAAAGAATCATATAAAAAAATTCAAAACATTATGATTATGTAGTAGTTGAATACAATCTAAAGTAAAATATGTATAGAAACTTATAATCTTGGAAGTAATAACTCGAGCCTCCTAAGACATCATCCCATATGATTTTGTGCAAACCCTCTTCCACTTCACATGACATTTTGCAGATGGTGGATAAACATGCTCTTGGATTACTCCAGATGTGTTGATTTAGATTCTCGCAACCTAGCTTTCTTTGCAGTCATCTTCTTTTTAAATAAATCATACCCCCATGAGGAAGACGATGGAAGGCTTTTCTTTTGTATCTCTTGTGTTTTTAATTTGTTTTTTTTTTAATAAATAAGAAATTAATATGGTACAAATACATAACAAAATATATAAAAAATTAAATTAGTTATACTAATACCTCTCACTCGCACATGTCCGAATCTCCTCATCAATGCCATATCACTAAAAAGTGTTAATCCCTTTGCAATTACATTCTCATCAAACACCTATTTAGTAGTTAACATGGACTTAAATTGATTCCACATTTTTCCCACAATAGATAGGACCTTCCTCTTCACATACTCGGAATTAACATCAAAATGTTTATATAATAACGTAAACTTAGTCAAATATAAGAAAATAATTATAAAAAAGGCAAGAGTTATAAGAAAAATTACCAAAATATCAACCCAAATCAAATTCTTCATTGTCTCCTCTACATGATCCCAATAAGGATGCAGAATAGAAACTTTTTCTCTAGCAAGATTACCCAAATAGCTACTGAATTGAGTACTATGTGGACCTGACAACTTCCCAGTGTGAGAATCAACTATCATATGTAGCTTTTCCCCAATCATATGGCTTGTCTAGTCTTCTTTAGAGAAGGTTCAATAAATTTTTAGGGAGGAGGAGATCTTGGTGGAGATGCCATGTTCCTATCAATAGAAATAAAAATTAATTATACAAATGTCATAAATATAATTTAAATACAAATAAATATAAGCATATATTATAATTTAGGTAAAAAAAATAGACAAATGATATATAAAATGTAAATATAGATGACTTAAATAGCAAAGTTTTCTCATATGCTTTCATCATTATCATGACAAATTGCATGGACCAAATCCTCTTCACAATCTTCAATGGTAGTAAGCATAATTATTGGAAAATAGATGTCAATGATATCACTTATTTCATCTTCATTTTCACATGTCACATCAGTTGCTTTACCTTGAATAACCACATACAATTTATCATTACATGGATCAGTAACATAAAACACTTGTTTTGCCTGATATGCCATTATGAATGGTTCTTACTTATAACCTATCTTCTTAAGGTTTACCAAAGCAAATCCAATTTAATCAAATTGAACACCGGTGTTGTTATCGACCCATTTACATTTAAATAGAGGAACTTTAAATGTAGAATAGTCTACCTCCAAGATTTCTTCAATGACTTGAAAATAACTTATGGATGTCATTACAAAATTATTATGCTCTAAACTAAAAAAAATGCAATGGTGTGGCTTGAATAGAAAACCCATTATTTTGAAATGTGTTTTTATCATCCTGTGATTTATGTAGAATGGGTACTTATTAATATCGTACCCACTCCAAGTGATCACATTATGTTTAGGTCCATGTGCTAACCACTTTAATGTATTAAAAGCATGGTCATCAACAAATATTTCCTTTTTAAACCAGTTGACAAAGTTATTATTATTCATTAAGTAATAATCATTCACTCATTTTGGGGTTTAGAGTCTTCATCATAGACTTTTGAGACATTATGTAAAGGAGAACCTCGTCTGTATTATTCAAGATATACAAGTGTGTTTTGTTAAAATCAATCAGAGCTTGGACTTGAACTTTTATGTCATGAGTACCTTCAGTGGCGGATCTTCTTGGGAGCTGAGGGGGTCGTGCCCCCCCCCAAAGTTTTG